AGATATCAACAGAACTGGATCCAACCCTGTTTGTCCTGCCTGTCCTGAATTGTCAAGAAAATGTCCTGGAGAACATTTTTATTACCAGTAGCTGTCTGGTTGTTTTCTGTCTTCTAGAAGCTGCCTGCAGCCACGTGGGAGGTAGCGGATTAGGTCGGCATGTTTGGCTCATGCGCTGAAATAAAATCCGTCAGTGTCCTCTAGGGATAAAATCTTAGAGACGCATCATATGTAGATTACATGATCGGTTACGACGTCTCACTTTGTTTCACCGTTTTGCTTTGATTGCAAACCATTGCCCGATGACGGTGATGGTGGTTTGTGTCCTCTGTCCTCAGACACGGTCGTCCGTTCGCCTCTGCTGTGTCTCTTGTTCTGTCCAGTTCCGAGCTAGACTCTTCGCTCCTCGCTTCTCTTCGAGTTGACCTATCGACGCGTCTGTGCCTCGCCCGCCTATCTTTTTGTCTTGTATCTTGATTTCCGCTGCAAACTATCGAGTTTCCTCTTTCACAGTTTTTTTCATGGGCTTGGATCTCGTTCTGTCCAGATCGTTGCCCATGTTTTGATCCCTCCGTCAACCGTTTTTGCATCCTGATGTTGTTCGCTTCGATCGTAGCCGCTCTCATTTTCACGCCCTAGGGCGACCGCTACGAGCAGTCTCCAGGACCCACTGACTGCAGGGTGTTTTACGCACGTTTTTCATGCCAATATTAATATCGTTTCCTTATGCTTTCTGTTTAATTATTCAACAGTCAGTTGAAACGAGTCGTTGCGTTCTTCGTCTGAAGGCGAAAGCCCCTCCTTTAAGATCGCTGATGATCGTGTGTTTCCATTATTCTTTGCGACGGGCCCTGGTCTCCGTCACCTCGGGGCGGTCCCATTTCTGGACAGTGCTGGTGATCGGTTGTTGGAGTGTACGTGCAATCATTCGATTTATCTTAGTTACCGTAACCTATCTTGCGTTATATTAGTACACCCTATACCGTATACTACTCCTATCAGTATATTAATAAACAGTGTATAAACTCCAGAGCTATGCTGCTTCGCTTTATGGAGCTGATTCAATCAGTAAGCCTATATATCAGAAAGCTGTCATACCCATTGACATTGACTGTTTATCCAGTTTGAAGCCACGTCTACCATCCACTGTTTAGTCGTCCACTGTGGGAGAAGCAGTGATTTTTAAGGTGGAACTGCTTTATTCAGTGTTAATACTGGTTTTAATCAGCGGGTCCTTTCCACCTTCATTGTGTCTGTACCTGGTTAAAGCTCAGGTGTCTCTCAGGTGTCTCAGGTGTCTCTCAGGTGTCTCAGGTGTCTCAGGTGTGTCTGTGGGCTGCAGGTGTGGCGTTCGGTGGGCTGGCGTCTCATCGCGCTCTCGCTCTCCCTGTATGGTCTCCTCTACCTGTATGAGAAACTCACCTGGACCAACGCCAGCAGAGAGCGTGTTCTGAAGCGGCAGTTTGTGGAGCACGTCGCCCACCGCCTGAGAGCCGTCATCCCCGTCAGCAGCTCTGCCTGCAGCCAGCAGGTGCACAAGTAAGACCCCGCCCCCCCTTCCTCTGGCGCAGTCTCTGAACACCTGGCGCAGTCTGAAACTCACCTGCTGTGTTTGTGTTTGAGGGAGCTGACGTCCACGTTCAGCCGTCTGACCCAGAGAGTGGACCTGAGTGAGGCTGAGCTGGAGGGAAACATCCGACAGCTGAGCTTCAGGATCCAGCGGCTGGAGAACATCCAGAGGAGGTCCAAGGCCTTCAGGTCAGAGGTCACAGTCTCACTGAGGGGCTAGGCTAACAGTTTCCCCCTGTTTCCAGTCTCTGTGCTAAGCTAGGCTAACAGAAGTGTCACAGGATCTTATTTTATGTGTTGATGTTGTTGGCAGGTTGTCAATGACAGTTATTGATTGATTGTCAATAATGTGGGTGTGACTGAAGCACGTTACATCCAGCAGTCAATATTCTCCCTTTAATCAGTCTTACCACAGCAGTGAGCCAAAAGTAATCATTATAATTAATGACAATAAACATAATATTAATAATAATATAATAATATCAGGATGGAGATCTCATAATGTCTGTGGGCTCCGGCTGTCTGTCTGTGGCCTCCGGCTGGCTGTCTGTGGGCTCTGGCGGCTGTCTGTCTCTCTGCTCCTACCCACAAACACCCAGCATACACAACAATAACTTCACAGGAACAGATTTTAAAGCTCTGACCCGTCTGTGTTTTCAGGAACAGAGCCACAGAGCTGGAGACTCAGCTGGAGGCCTTCTCTGTTCAGTACCTGCAGGGAAACTGAAGAGGACTGAGGTCTGTTGGTGGACAGCGCCCCCCGCTGGTGGACTGTATTGTTTCCTCCTCACAGCAGATACAGGAAGCAGGGTTGATACTGCAGTTATCAGTTTTAGCAGCGTTTAGTGCTGATGTGACAGGATGAACATTGTAGATTAAAGATCAATCAGTGATCTGTCAGAGTGGAGCTGCCCCCTGCTGGCCATCAGAGACAATGCAGGGTGAACTCAAGATCTACTTTCAGCTGTATCACAGTCTTCCTCAGCGATGCAGTCGTCATGACGATGAATGTGTTGACACATTAGCTCCGTAGCTGACTGTATTTTAGAATATTTTCCTAATGAATGGATGATTAAAGCAGATTAGACCATCAGTTCACTCGTTTATATCGGATTAGTTTAAGTTTATATGTGAGCTGTTTAATGAGCCGATCACACAGAGACATTTAAATAGTGTTTATCCTGCGTACAGCGCGCCCAGTGGGCTCCGCTGACAGAGGAGAGGGAAAGTGACTCATCTAGAGCTCAATGTCGGCTTCAATACAGTTTCTATCTGAATCATTTGATCACGTGGTTGCACACGCTGCCTCTCATTGGTGTTTTTGAAGTGGTTGCACCTGTAGAGGGGCTGACAGGAAATACACTACTCACAATAAGTTAGGGATATTGTGAGAGACTCAGTGGATTTCATACATACGGTGTTTGTTTCACTTCAGAGATTT